TTCAGAAAAATAAAATGAACTTTTACTAAAGATGTAGATTTTTACCCCTGACATTAGTCGACGAACAAATAGAGGACCTAAGGTAACTTTTTAAGATTTACCTAGGTTTACATCCATGGGATATCTCTAAAATCTCTGGCAGCCCCAAGGCAAAATGGTGACAAGTTCACCGCGGAAACCTCACTAGGACTATGTTGATATGGTAATTTAGTGTTAACAACTCAGTTGAAAACGTAAATTGGCCACCGTAAAGAGTGAAAAGGCTCACGTTTCAAGCGTTAGTCCTACGTCAGAGCGATTAATATGATTGACTATCTGGAAAACAAAAAGCGGGCTGTGATTGGTGCATTATTTCCTTATCAAGTGGGAACGTCACACACCCATATAAAAGTGGTAAAAGTGGGCTTCCCATAGAATCGAAGCAGGTTTAAGTGTGGGAGAGAGAGAGAAGCGAGTCCAGACCAAGGAGACCCGTTTTTACAATGCGTACAGGAGAAAGGTTACTGTGTGCAGCGGGAAGTATATTCAATGACCTCTGCAAGTGCATGTTTTTATTTTCTCTCCTATTTTTCATGGAGGTAGTGGAACTTTCAGCTGCGAACACTGGACTTATAATACTCCTTGGACAAATTGTCGACGCGTTGACTTCAGTAATCTCTGGTTACCTTGGTGATATGGTTAAAGTACCCGTTCTTTCACAGAAAATTGGAAAGCGAAAATCTTGGCATCTTATGGCAACAGTTTTTATGGGAATCGTACTTCCTCTCTGCTTCAACCGTTGCTTTCTCTGTACTGGAAGTCATCAAACTTGGCTTCCCACCGTCTATTACGGTTTCTTATTTTCACTGTTTTGTATGTGTTTCAGCGTAGTGGAGATAAATCACCTGGCTTTCATCACAGCTACAGCTGTTTCGGTTGAGGAACAAACAGATCTTAGCGCCATGAGGTTTGCTATTTATGAAAGTATTAAATTAAATTAAATTTAACTGTTCACCCATTTTGTTGGGCTCTTACCAAAGATCTACTGGAGGACAGACGCTTAGTTAAGGTCGCCATTTACCCAATTTTTCTTTTTTATCATCTAAAACAAACTAATTATATGTTGATGCGGGTTTACAGTTCAAGAATCACAGAATATGTCAAAATGTGGTAAAAATATAAATTATACACTCGGCTATGCCCCGTGTGCCACGAGCATATTCTGACGTCATCTTTGATCTCTAACAAAACGGAAGACGTCATAATGTAACATTTTTGCTAATCAGATGATGACGCAAAGTTTTTATTTCATAACCAGACTCTCCTAAAGTTGCTTTTCACTACAACACTGCATAAGCGTAAGCCGGTTGACTTAAGTACCATTGCCTATTGCTTTGTAAAAGTTATAGGAAATAAAACTAATTTAATGAAAAACCTTCCAGCTATGCGTATGTCTGCTCAGACCTCCATTTTTAGTGTTCACACACGTGAAATTAAGCTTCGAACGTATTCATCAGTTTTTATCATGCATTCAGCCATTGATTGACCTTACTGGCCATAATGGACGGCAACTTGTATTCCTGTGTGAGAAATAAAATTTTCGCGTCAATTGCTCCAGTTATAACACTCCATAAAGTTTCAAGCGGCCAATTAGGCAGGGATTTACTTTTGAGGTTGCATTTAAGGACATCATCAAGTTATTTTGTACATGATTCGAGATAATTATATTAAATCTGTATCCAACTAGTTTGCGAAGTTTTCATATGGACTGGTTGCATCTACTTTCTAGTTAAAATGCGGACAAGAAAACAGCTATTGTGTGCGGTGGGAAATTTATACATATATTGTTTTATGCCTTCCAATGCATAACCTTTTCGCGTGCCATTTCTCCTGTGTAGACACGCAGGATGTTGAGGCTCAAGCAGATCAATTATCGTTTGATGTTCCACTTCCTCAACTTCTCTCTGAAAACAAGGCAACGCTAAAGATGTGGTTAGAGGCAAATCAAAATTGCAACAATTAGTCTCACTATCATCAACCCCCATCTTCATCAATCACCATCTTCATGACTCTCAAGAATAATAAGCTACAGTCGAGTTCTAGCGTCAATTTATGGTTTAGCGAGTTCTTTTAAGCAAGGCCAATTTAGTGTGTGTGTGTTATAAGAACAAAAAAATTTACTGTAGATAAGAATTCCACTAGGAATCAAGATAAATCTGTATCCAACTAATTTGCGAAGTTTTCATATGGACTGGTAGCGTGTACTTTCTGGTTAAAATGCGGACAAGAGAACAGCTATTGTGCGCGGTGGAAAATTTCTTCAACGACCTCTGCCGGCAGCTTAATTCTTCATTCAAAATTAAATTTTTCTTTCAAAGAATCCCGACGGGCGAAAATCTTGGCACCTTCTGACATCACTTTTAATGAGCATTATCATTCCTTTTTTCTTTAACCGCTGTTTTCTTTTTATCAGAAATCATGGTGAAAGGCTTTCAATTGCCTGTTACACCTTCTTGACCTCTGTGTACAACATTTGTTTGAGCATTGTGGGATAAATCACTTTTATTACAACTGAAACTGAATCCGTCGAGAATGTACAGCTCTTAGCGCCATGAAGTCTGCTTCAAGAGACATTTTTTAAGACACAGTTTATACGGCAATCGTATTTGTTTTTAATATGCTTGTATAAATCCCTTGTATAACTCAAGCACGGACACCCCGAGGCCGTTTTTTCCTAACTCATCTTGTAGAGCAATTTTCCTCATTATTCTCTTTTTCTTATTCAAAGGACAATGTTCAGCTTCCTGAGTGGTATTTACATATACGTGATCGCTTGGGGTATTTTCGGACACGACCATAGCGTTACTCTGGGACCTCAGAGCCTTTCAGATTTTGTGGTAAGTAGCAGCTTCGTTAAAAGTTCTATGCCACGATATGCTTTGACAAACAGACAGAAGCTCATTACAATAAAATGAAAAAAAGGGCAATTACCAAACGGCTTGCAGCAATTTGGTTTTCTCACCTTGTGCTGCCTGTCAGCCTGTCAGCCTGCCAGCCTCCTTCCACACATCTCTGCTGGCATTAAAAATCTTCTTTTAGTCCTTGACCCTTCAACTTTCAAGATCTTATTGCCAATTCTCTCCTGGAGCTGCTTTGTATTTCCTTGTAAATTAATTTTGAGAATTTATTGTTTTTTCAAGATAACAACTTTTACCTGATAAGTATGAGTATTCTCATCAGCTGTTGGCTGAAGAATGTATGTTTATTACTGGCAGAGGTACAAATTAATCATTTCTTGGAGTTAAAGGACTAAAATGCCAGTTGATTAATTCTTTTCTAAACAGTATCTCTCTTGGATTGCTACTGGAACAGGACTCTTCTTTGCAGCCATCTTCCACATTGGTACAAAGGAACATCAAAAACGTCAGAGTAAAGAAAGCGCCATAACGGATCTTACGGTAAGACAGGAAGCAAAAAAGATATTTGCTTTTCAAATAATGGTCATACAAAGATTTATTTTCGCGTTCGGAAAGCAGATAACACCTTGGAGCTAATAACAGCGCGTTTGTGCGATTGTTTCTTCGTTCTTCATTTGATTTATCTACAAGAGGTCTATTAATCTGAACGCGTCTTGAAGTTACATAGCGTGACCAGAGGGATAGAGGTATGGTCTGCACATTGCCTGAAGCAACCTTTAATTCACTCTAGCCAATTTCCTGTTATTTTGCAGAAAGCTCCTGGAGTAGTCATTGAAGAGTTTGGACCCGAAGATGCCAGTAAGTTTATAGATATGTACTGTGGTGTATTATTATAAAAACCGTCGTTGTTTGTAATAAAATTGCATATCTAACGCCCTCTCCGACATCAAACTAAACTACAATAATTAAAAACTCCGCTCGTCTTCATCTAAAGGGAGATAGGTCTTATTTTTGCATGGAGCTTCTTAATATTTAGTGTATTGTTGCCTCGGTATTTTTGAGAATCTATTAACCATGACTGTGTGCAGGCATGCCACAGGTTTGATAAGGTGTTCTTATCTGGAGAGAGCACCAATTTTGCTTTAAATGTTTGGAAAACGTCCTCTTTAAAGCAAAATTTCTAGTTTAGAAGTGCATATCAACTGGAGATTAAGATTAGTGGTCACAGTAAGGATATCCAACCCTCAAACTCTCTTCAGTTATTTCTAGACTGCATTCCGCTAAGAGGCTTAATGTCGACTATGTTAGTAGCTCGAGTTTTACTTCGAAGAACCAGCAAAGAAGATGGCAAGGATGGGGCAAAGAATTTCACCTGTCAACCCAGCGTTCTAAGGATCGTCTTTTTAGACAACTTTACGGTAACTTTTTTTCAGCGCAGCGCAAAACTTCCAGCTTAGCTGAGGTAACTCAGATTCTTCACTAACAAGTTCCAACGGGGAAAAGAAGTTGAACAAAAACTAATCGAGAAAAAGTCCATATATCCCATTTTATAAAAATATTATTTGAGATTATTTTAAGGGAATAAATGTTAATGGTTGATCCGACAAAGATTTTGCTGAAGTTGGCACGATTTAGTTCCACCGTTGAACCCTGACACAGAAAAACCAGACGTTCGCTAATTGCTTGTTTTGTTTTTTAGCTCAAGATTCGAGACGGACCAGTCTTGCTTTTAAGTTTACTGACACGGTTATGGCTTCAACTGAATATGAAGAACATCGAAGTGAGATGAACAGATGTGGAGAAACCAAAAGCCATGAAATGCGTATCAGAAAACGAAGTCTTCTGCAGAAGTTTGCTGTTGCTATGTTTGCCGACGGGAAAATTGATAACACTGATCGAAATCATGATCAGCCGTGGTCTTCGGAAGAGGAGACCACTAAGAATCCAGAAAGTGAGGATACAAAAATACGAGTTGCTTTAGAAGTACAGCATCTTGATCGTGAACGCAAGAAGAGTCCACTAATGCTTGATTTTGACGGCATCCTGTTAAGATTACAACACGAAGAGCACAAACAACCAACAGGTTTTGCTGTCATGGAAAACCAAGTTACAATGGACGGTATAGCCGACGATCATGCAACTGATGAGGAGTCGTGGAACGTTAGACAAGAAGAGATCAAAAACACCACTGAAGCAGATATGTGGAAAATGACCAACAGTGCGGCCCCCAAAACACCTTTTTGTACCGCATTTAAGCAAAGAAAACATGGAATGGTGCTTATTCCGGATGATGGTAAATTTGGTCTCTCTAACTCTGGATTTGAAGATGATGGAGGTGGTAATGATAAGAAGGAAAGCCTCTGCGGTACATCAGTTAGGAAGCAAAAAAAGTCTGTGACTTTCGATCCTTCTGACCTTCTTGAAATGTCGTCAATGAACGGAACAGAACGACAGGGAATAAATCTCGATCACACGCCTGACAACAAAACGAGTTTGGATAAAAATATTCCAAAACAACACGGCAGAAAAATAGAAAGAACCGAAGGTTGCGATACCACAGAAAATTCGTTAACTTCAGGGGATAACCCTGATCTTCTTGGTCTCCCTGTTCAATCGACAAGTTCTCCATCAGAGGGTAGACGTCCAAAAGGAATCAAAAACTGGCTAAAAGAGCCACACGTGTATATGGTAAACCTTCACGTTTCCAACTATCTTTGTTTGTTGATTTAATTGACTCTCTGTGATATTTTTTCTCGTGTTTTAATTCTCAGGTAGCCATTATCTTTACATGTACACGCCTTGCGCAGGACTCTGTACACGGCTATTTACCGCTATTCCTCACAGAGGGATTATTATTTCCCAAGGTATATTTCAGTCTGAAGTGCTAAGTTGTTTTCAAACTCATTGATAATTATAATAATATAATCATATTTTTTTTCGTGAATCAGGCAGCTACCGCTTATTTTCCACTCGTTCTCCTAACCAGTGGCTCTGTAGCGAGTTCAGCCTGTAACAAACTGAAAAGGAAAATTGGAAGTACGGTAAGACCTAGATTAACAGCTTTTTCTAGATGGTCATTCCACGTTTGTGATGGTGGAAATGCAATGATTGCGCCAATTGTCGGATTATTTACTTGACGATGATGATCGGCTGAGAGGGGCAATAAATCAACGACCATCTTAATGGCTTTATTTAACTTAACTCGACGCATGAACCATCTTTTCTCAAGTTACGATAGTCAGGAGTTCGATTCTTTAAGGGATTCTCGGACTTTTTCTATGTCTCTTGCTTGTTACAGAACCATGAACAACTTTATTTGTTAAATTAGTCTTGATAACTTTCATACTTTCGTTGATATCCACATCTAGTGGAGCTACCTTCTGGCAAGTTTATTAGTGATGGGTGGCGTTGTTTGGAGCTATTTTCAAACCCTCTCCACCAGACAATCAACGTATGCACCAGTGTTTATGATAGGAAGTGGTCTGTCCATTATGTGCGTCATGGCACTGGTCTTCATCACTGAGCTGATCGGGGAAAATAAGGTTAGTGCTTTGAAACAAGCTTCAAAGGTTTCGAGGAGAGGCTAAGTCGCAAACTCTGATCAGTTCAGTTACAGTGTATTTTCAACCAGCTATCGGGCCAATTGACTGAAAAAGTAGTCATTTTTGAAATTGAAATGACAGAATTTCTTTTAAATGTCGCATTACAAAATACATACTAATCACAACTCTTAGTCAGAACGAAATAAAATCTCACAAGCAGCTAATGAGAATTTAAAGTAAATATAGTTAGATCGCCTGAAGTTTGGGAAATTTCGAGTGACATCTGATCGGTTGAGAGATTGTTGCGAGTTTTCAAGCCAATCACAGAGGGTACTGAAAAAGAACCGTTTCATTCGCGGACTGGTTTAACAATCAAGACCTTCAGTTTGATTGGCGATCATTTCAGTACCTTTTTCTCTCTTGACGTAAATGTTTGGTTCAGCAGTGACAATGTGAGGAGAAATTAAAGACCTGTTGGTCTTAGGAGTAAAGACTTACGTTACGTAAATATGAGTTACGTGACGTAAATATTAGAACTAATGTTGGTTTCCCATCTGAGATCAATGAGTTAATACGGTGCTTTCCTTTCAGGAAACCAGTGGATCAGTGTTTTCCATTATCACTGTAATCGCCAGAATCTCAAGCGGTGCACTTATCATTGGTATACAAGAATTTTATCCGGAAGAAAGGTTAGTCTATCAAATCTTTATTGTAATTTACCCTAGAAGGAACAAGAAACATGGTATTTAAAACGTTTAGATGACCAGCCGATTTCTTAAAACTCGAAAAGTGTATTCAACAGGTTTGTCTTTACCAGCTTGACAAGGCCATCGTTGACAATTTTAAATTGTAACGAAAGTTTTAAAATTATGAATTATTTAGTAAACTCCTCGATTCCTTCATTCAATTTAGAACCAGCTCAAATGAGGCAGTTAGCAACTACGTACGGCATGTGTTTGTAATGGCGCCTGGAGTATTAACTCTGGTGGCATTCTTGCTGGTTTTGTTTTTCCAATCATCTAACTTTATCTGCAAAAGTAAAGGTAAGTACATTGTCAAGCTGTTAGACGTCTCTAACTTGGGTAACGCATGGAGAATAACTGCAAATACTCTTAATTACCCCCTGAAGCAATCGTGTCAAGCGTTCCTCTGTTTAAATTAGTAATCTTATTAAATGACACAAGCCTGTGTAATGCATTTACCTCGCGATGGTTGTGCGTCTATGTAGTACTGTCGTGCTCAGTTAATAAGACGGTTTTAAACTTAGAGCTTCAGGTTTGCTAGTCAGCATTACATGTGGTTGTCTTTGTTGTGAACGAAAACTTCCTCTGTCAATTTATTCTTCTAGTTTCAGAAGATGTTGAGGCTCTACACGGCCAATCGTCTTTTGATGTTCAAGTTAACCAATGTCCATCGGGAGTCAAAGCAACGTCAAACCACAGCTTGGATGATAGTCACAATACCTCCATCGTGGTGGTGGATTCTTGTTCTGAGGACTCAAAGCTTTGAATTCTTTGAAAATTGCATTATGTGTAGAGGTTCTATCAAGTTAAAATCAAAGAGATTGTAAAGTTCATTTCTGTCTGTTATTGTTTAGATTTTACATGAAAAGTTTTGCGATCGTAGAATTCCGTAAAATAAAAGGAGACAAGTCGTAATAACTTCTCGCACCAAGATGGACGAGAGTGTACTTTTCCTAAATTTTAGATAAATAGTGATCTTCTATATTTAATAATTATAACAATATCATTGTATCTTAATTGAAAATGAGTCTATCAATTTTCAAAATGTTTTCACATTTTCTTGTTTTCTATTGATAGCTCAAAATTTTCTTCGAACCTCGCTCGGAAAACTGTTCACATCTCGGAACAAATAATGTGAACCGTTTAGATCAATCGCGGAGAGGCAAAAACTTTTCATAGATTATAGCTACGTGTATTATGACATTTTTGGTTTTGAAGAACTAGTATGGTCATGTTCGCAGTCTTAATTATGCCTGAAACTAATTTTCAACCATGAGAAAATGAGGCGAAGGAGAGGAGGACAGAGACGGCTGGGAGGGCTGGGAGGGGAGGGAGGGCTGGGAGGGGAGGGAGGGCTGGGAGGGGAGGGAGGGCTGGGAGGAGAGGGAGGGCTGGGAGGGGAGGGAGGCCAGGGGGCAGGGAGGGTGAAAGGAAAGGAAGAGAGGGGGAGGTTCCTTGTTTAGGCTCTGAAGTAAGGTTGTTCAGAGTCAATATCTAGACCAGCATATTCCCTACCTAAAAAATGTAACAAGAATAAGATCAAATGTAAACTGACGAATGAAAAATAAAGGTTAACCGTAGAAATACAAAGTCTATTGCAGACTGATATGTAGAAAAAATATATTACAGTTAGCACCCTCTGATCATACCCAGCTTGTTCCTTATTTTAGGCTAAAGTGTTTTTAAATTCAATTTCTTGTATTAGGGTAAAAAGTTTCTTTGGTCAGTATCGTAAAAGAAACATCAGACTTAGAACGAAGACAGGTTTTTAGTATAGGTGTTGGTTATTATTCAGCTGGTGCTCACCACGAGGGTCCTGCTCAATTAGCTACTTTACACGTGAAATTGCGTGACAACACGTTTTCAGTAAACAAAGTCACTATCCAACAATGCTGACATCGAGTATTTTGCCTAAATTGTCTGCTTATCGTGATATGACGATCCAGCCCATGTAACTTATTCTACCTCCGCATGTTTTGATGATAAACAGGAAAATTGTATTCAGGGATGTTTAAAAGGACGACTGTTTATGAAGAAGGCTGGATGGCAGCTGGAGAGACCTTTCTTACAATTAAGTTACAATTAAGGGTAGTGAGTTCCTTATAACACTAAAAAAAAGACAATTATTGCGATACTTCATTTTGACGTCCTCGGTTGTCAACAGGATAAGACAATATCTGAGTTTGAAAAACGGTCTAGACGCTATGGATCTTATTTATTATTCTGAGGATTCAAACATAGTTATTTGGCAGAGTGGATATACGAGTAATTGTGGTGTAACAATCGCGCGAAGAGAAACTTATTTAATAACTTTTGACCAAAATGCGGAGAAGGGAAAGGTTATCTTGTGCTGTGGGAAACGTATTCAACAATAATGTCCGAATGCTGTTGACATCCTTCCAATTCCTGTTTTTTATAAATGTAATAGAGCTTCGAGCTTCGCAAGTGTCAATAATAACATTTACTGGTCCAATATCGGAAGCAGTTTTCTCAGTGCTCATTGGTTATTTTGGTGATCGAGTCGATATTCCTTTCATTTCAAGGAAATTCGGAAGACGTAAATCTTGGCATCTTATCTTGATGGCAATCAGCTTTCCTCTTTTGATGAATCGTTGCCTTCTTTGTGAAGGCAGAGAGCAGACCTGGCTTCCATTTTTTTATTACGGCTTCTTAGAAGTATTGAGGGGCCTGTCATTCAACATGGTGGAGATAAATCATCTGGCCTTTATCACAGCTGTCGCTAAAAATGTGGAGCAGGCAACAACTCTGAGCACCC